TATAATCAAACATTTTGTTGGAACGACTAGTAATATAGCATCGAGAATTCATGATCAGCTAAGTAACCTAAAATATCCAATATTAAGTGATTTCAGATGATACAAAGATGTATTCATCTCAAGAGTAATGCTCAGAGGAGACTGGGACAAGTCTTTCTGGAAAAAAATATTCATCAATGGCTTACCTAATCTCTTTGCATATAAGATTAGAAAAGCATTAAGCAAATCCAAATGAATCATTAAATATGATCAGTTAACCTAGGGTGACATTATCAATATCATCCATAAAGAAGGATTAAGAATGTGTATTGATATGAAAATTAGTAAATAAATGAAAGATGACAGGAAAAAAGCTAAGTATGAAATGGGTGATTTCTGTGAACAATATGGTCTCCCTTCAGTAACAACATCTCGCAAAAAACACAAGTTACACAAACCTTATAGTAGAAGTAAATCCTACTATAAAAGAAGTAAAAAGAATTTTCTGTAACAAGAATATTATGAAAAATCAAGTAAAAAACATAAGAAATCATATAAGCGTAAAACTTATAAGAAAAAGTCAAGAAAGAAAGATAACAAAGAAGTTGAATGTTATAATTGTGGGAAAAAAGGGACAAATCAGTCCAGACTGTCCACCAAAAAAAAGTTAAAACAATTAAACTTAATTGAAGAAAATGAAAATAAAATCTTAACAATCTTTAAGTTAAGTAATCTCAGCCAAAATGAAGAAAGTTCAAGTAATTCAAGAAATCCTGAAAGTTTTTCAGATTATCAGTCAATTTATAGCAATTCCAATGATCTTGATGTCAAATTAGGATGCAAAGATAATTGTTGTAAAACAGTTAAAATTTTAACCAAACAAACTGAGGAAGAACTTGGCCTCGTAGATTTAATTAGTAAAATTAAAAATCCAGAGTTAAAAGTTAAATACATCAAAAAACTCAAAGATTTGTTTGTCAAAAAAAGGCATTAAACAATCTTTTAATGAAAAACAGTTAATCAATTATAATAAAACTATGGAAAAATTCAGTTAAAGAAATAACCTTACATGATCTTCAAGCGGAAGTTAATAAGTTAAAACAAGAAATTAAGGTCTCGTTTGGTAATGTTTATGTTTTTCGTTTTTCGTTTTTATTTTGATATTTAGAGAAAACAAGAAAAAAAAAACCCGTTTGTAACCATTTTAATTTTTTTTTTTGTCATCGTTTTGTAAACATGGGGCGATTTTCAAAAACGAGAAAAAGACGTTTTTCGTTTTTCGTTTTTCGATTCTGTTTTTCATTTTTTAGAAAATAAAAAATCGTAAACGTTACCAAACGAGCCCTAAAGAATTAAAATTACAAGATAAAAAGTTAGAAGAAGTTTTAAATCTTCTATAAGCAAAAAATAAGTTTCGTAAATCAAGAAACTCAGCTTCTAGCCAATCTAACGAACAATCTAAAATTAAAAACTCAGATAGCTGACATAGTTCAACCAGAACATATTCCCAGTGGATATCCATAACTTCCACCTCTAAAGTGGATCCCTTTGGTGTAACTAAGCTATCATCTGACGATAGATGTTCGCAAACTAGTAACAATGATAATAGTTAAATTTAATCAATAAGTTAAACCTCCAGAAATGGCACTCCAAAGTTAAAATCATAATTGATAATGATTATGAAATTGAATTCATAACTCTTATAGACACTAGAGCAAATTTGAACTACGTCCAAGAAGGGCTTATACCAATCAAGTACTATCATAAAACAACTGAATAACTAAATTTAGCAAATGGTAGTAAAATGTGTATTTTATACTCATTTCCAAATGTGCATTTTTGTCAAGATAATGTATGCTTCAAAACATCATTTGTCTTACTACAAAATATGACTGATAAAGTTATCCTTGGTATACCATTTATATATCTATTGTATCTTTTTGCTACAGATATAGAAAGTGTGTCTACCAAGCCATTTGATCACTCGTAACATTCAAATTATTAACAAGCCTCAAGTTAAAAAAAATTAAGGCAACTTAAAGATTATTCAATCTCTAAGTCTCTTAATTTAGTAACCCAGAAAAGTAACTAAGTAAAATTTCCAAAAGAGGAAATTAGTCACAAAAGAGTTCAAGAACAACTAACCAATTCAATCTTAATTCAAAAGATTGAAAGGTTTAAAGAAAAAAAATGAAAAATGAAGTATACTCTAACCTTCATACTGCTTTCTGGCATAGGAATAAATATATGGTAAAACCTCCTTACTCAAAGGATTTAGTGAATAAAATATCTCAACTAAGTCAAGACTTATTCAGATGAATCATGAAGTAATGGAAATTTGTAAATTCTGAATTACTCAAAAATGGTATCATCAAAAAAAGTAAATCACCTTGGTCATATCCAGCTTTTTATGTCATCAAAAATTTAGAGTTAGAAAGATGAGTCACAATGTTAGTCATCAATTATAAGCCTTTAAATTCTGTGTTGAAATAGATCAAGTACCCAATTCCAAATAAATAGGACTTAATCAAAAGATTAAGCAATTCAATAATATTTTCAAATTTGATTTGAAAAATGGCTTCTGACATATCCAAATATCCTCAGAAGACAGATATAAAATTGTATTTACCACACCCTTTGGACATTATGAATGGAATGTAATGTCATTTGGATTGAAAAATGCACATAATGAATTTCACAATATAATGAATGAAATATTTAATCCAATAAGCCATTTCTCTATAGTCTACATAGATGATATCCTCGTCTTCTCTAAGTCTTTAGAAAAACATTGGAAACACCTAATGTCTTCTTAGAGATAGTCACATACAATAGTCTAGTCATCTTTTCAAGTAACATTAAGCTGTTTCAAACCTCAGTCACGTTCCTTGGATATAATATCCAGCAGTCAACCATCATTCTTATCAGCAGATCTGTCCAATTTGTAGATAAATTTCCTAATAAGATTACAGACAAAACCCAATTACAGAGATTCTTAAGGTCTTTAAACTATTTTTCAGACTTCTATCAGGATCTCAGAAAAATAGTCAAACCTATGTATGAATGACTCAAAGGAATCCTCCTCCTTGGTCTTCAGTCCATACATCTATAGTTCAACAAGTCAAAAAATATATCAAAATTTTGTCTTGTCTTGATATTCCTTCAATAAATTCTTTCAAAATCATTCAGACTGATACCTCCGACATTGGTTATGATGGTATCCTTCTTCAAAAAGTCAGTTCAGACTCTCCATAGCAAATTGTTCATTTCTACTTTGGAATCTGGAACAAAGCACAAAACAATTATAGCACCATTAAAAAAGAGATTTTATCTATTGTCCTATGTATCTCAAAATTTCAGGATGATATACTAACTAGAACATTTTTGTCATAGTTGATTGTAAATCAGCAAAATATGTTTTGTAAAAAGAAATACAAAACATTGCTAGTAAGCAAATTTTTGTCCGATGACAATCTATTTTAAGTATTTTCGATTTTAATATTGAATATATTAAAGGCGGTAATAACTTTATTCCTGATTTCCTAACTTGTGAATTTTCTGCAGGAACCTCGTAGCAGATAGACAACCTAGTAAACCTTCCATTTCATCCAAAAACACGGGAGGGATAGTAAACAATTAGCTTTACTTAGCCCAAATCCAAAGCCCAGTCATTTATCACCTCTTGAAATAGCAAATCATTATCAATCTCTTGGTAGCTCAATCAAACTAACTTACCAATCCTCCCTAGTAAACCCAAACACAATAACAAGCCTTTACCAAGCCCAACAACAAGTAGTTATTAGCCCATATCCAGCCCTACCTATATCCTCAGCAAGGCCTAGTTAGCTAACCTACCCTAATCCATCAAAGTCAACATACCAGGGCCCAAGAACTAAATATATACTAAAGCCAACAATCCAAAATATATTTTTTATTGAACTAGTGCATGCTCATTTAAACAACCTCATTGATTTAGTCAATGCCTATCTTGAACCAAGATGGACTTTTATCCCTTTGGATCTTGAGAAAACTTTCACATTTTATTAAGATATCAAGTTTCATACCCAGTCAATCTTTATTAAATCTATTCCTAATAAGAATGATCCCAGCAAAATTGTATATCATTCTTTGTATATACAAAATTTTATTTCAGCAAAAGATTGGGGGTCTCGCCCTTCTTTACTTAGAGATCTTCCAGGATATAACAAGCAGTTTAGCTATTATGACTACAAAAAGTCATGGTTTAAACTGATCCTCTATCAGGATGAGTCTTACACTCATTCCTAGTTCATACAATTTAGTAAGGAGTTCAAGAGCCAAATTCCTTCCTGGTTTTACAGTTGTGGCAAGTTCACAGCCCCGTAATTGAAATCCTTCTAGTTGATCTTCAAGTTCAAGTTACTTATTTCTTCTCTTATTTTAAAGTTAGTTAACATGAGTCTCAATTTCCTATATAATTATTATTTAGGAGTAAATATAAATTACCTTGGATTTGTAAATGACACTATAGCAAACACAATTGTTCGGCAATATTATGTCAAATGGTGGCCAAGATTTGATCACCAACGTGTCGTTGCCCAAGTCAAAGCAAAATTCCCAGTCAAAGTTCCTACTCCAATTAGGATTACAGGAACAACCACCAGTACACCAGTTAAACAGGTTATGTCAACCCTCAGAGTGTATTCACCAAAAGTCCAAGCATTATCAACAAAGCAAATCAAATTGTCCTTTAAGGATTCCAGTAAAGCACAAAAGAAGAAGTCATTTGAGCTAATTAAATTAGTACATAAACTACTCCAACAAGCAGTCGACCAAGAAGATGACCCGGCCCCTTTCCTATTCCGTTTTGCCGCCTATTAAGAGAATAGGTCTCGTTCAAGCGGCCTGCCTTTATTCATCTATACCAGCTGCCACGCACGACCCAATAGAAAGGATTTCAGTGCCCACCAACTTCCTGGCAAAATGCCTACGGTTAAAAACCACCGACATGTCAAGATCCAAATTCAAATGGGTTCCTGGTCCTAGTCAAAGACCACTGTGTTCGCACCGGCGATCCAACAAAGAGGCGAAGTAGTGGTATCTTTCTTTCCATTACGAACGACATGCTTTGCCTGCTCCCTCCCCGTGTCCACTAGCGCTCCTGTCCAGAGCGAAGAGAAGGCAAAAAAACGTCGCCGAAGCAGCATAAGCAGGCTTCTATTGCTACGTAACAATAGAGCAAGATAGCATTTTGCACCCACATGTTTGAATTTGAGGGTAAAGAGCTCGACATAAACTACTCCAACAAGTAGCCGGCCAAGAAGATGACAACTCTTCGGCATCGTCACAGACATTAGTCAGCCCGTCGTTGGATCCTTTCCAAGATGCCCAAGACCCCGATGATGCTTATGACCTATACAGTCCATGATTCTCATAACTATGTGTGAAAGATTTCAATCACTACTTTCTTCACCTAAAGAAAAAAAAGTTGTCTTTTACATACCCTGATGGAATCATCCAGCAAGGAGGCTACATTCTAGCAAAAAAGCAGTCATCAGTCAATCAACTTTTCCACCAAAAGTAGATTCCAAGCCAACATTAGGGGCTTAGCAGTCACATGTTTTTACATAACGTTAGTATTTACCAAGGTAAAAGGAATTCATTCCACATTTTTCACGGAAAAGTGAAAGTGAAAAACATCTTACCCAAGTAAAAGCAAGTTGCTTGAGTGAAAGCAGCACGAAAAGTCAAAAGATAAATCATTTCAAAGGTTCTCTCCACAAATCCTTACGCCTATATAAGGACTTCAGTCATTCTTAGCAAAGGAGAGGCAACATTGGGAGGCAATATTTGGCCGACACCAAACTACTCCTAAATTCTCTCTTCCCTCATATTTCTTATTGTATCCAATCTTCATATGATGCATAAAGAGATCTTCTTTCAATAAACTATTTATAAGTTAATTTCAGTTAATTGTGATTTGAATTTTAGTTTGAACAAATATTATCTGTTCAAGTTCCAATTAACTCTTCCAATAAACTCTTTTATATTTACTTCTGTGTGCTCAGTAGTATTGGTATATATATATATATATTCTCCTAGTTTGAACATTAGAGGTATCAATCATATCGTGTCACATAATTTTCATGTCGTGTAATTTTCAGTCGTGTTATTTTTGTGTCGGGTCACTTTCGTCATGTGTCGGGCTCGTGTCAAAAAAAAATTATTTAATTCCACAACTCATATAATACTATTTAAAAAATTATTAAAAAAATTATAAAATATTTATTTTCTGTTTGCAATACTTATCAAATACTTATTTTTTATCTACAATAACCGTTAATTGTGTTATTTCTATCGAACCTTAATTTGACCAAGTTATTACTCGTATCAATAAATCGTATTATTTCTGAGTTTTATGTGGGATCGGATTTGTGTGGGGTTCTTGTTAATGTATAAAATTGACACATCTATTGAACAAATATTAGATTAATGATTTTACACTTGCATTACCTTGCATTGAGTATTAGATCAAGTCAATTATTTTATGTGAAGTGTAAAAATCAAGACACTGCTATCTACTCACGTCCCTAATAAAATATTCGATGCTTATAAGACATAAGCGGTAGTATTATGTGGTGTTTATATTTAATGAAAAATTAACATAATACTTACCTTAACAAATACACAAATTTATTTATTCAAAAAAATTCTAAACAATTTTACAAGTGATAAAAAGTAATTAAAAATATATATTATTTTATTCAGGCTTTGTCCTTTGTGAATTATGATATCACTACACTTGAAAACACTCTTTAGACAAGGAGTAAATATTTAATGCAACGGTGGTATCATGTCACCATTGATAACATGATATCATCAATCAATAATAAAACCCTAAATAGGAAAGGTGAACCCCCTTGGACTTATATGGCAGAAAGATAGGAAGTTATTTGCTTATATGACTAGTTAGTTATTGATTTTTGTGAAATCCATGTGTTTATTTGTTTTAGTATTATTAGTTGGTGATACCACATCACCATGTCATGTGTTATCACCATTGTAATGAATATTTTCTCTTAGACAAGGGCAAAATTTTATTTAGATATTTCATAATTATTGGATTAACTGTAAGTCTTAATAAATGTTGAAACTCACTGTTGATTCATTTATTATGAATAATTAGATCAATAAATTAAATTCAAATAATATTACTTTAAAAAAATTGTAGTTCCTACGAGGTCAAATATTTCAACATATATACATTCCTAGGCGTTTGACCCATTTAACAATATTTTGGGTATGTGTACCACTTTTGGAGGAAATTTACTAATTTTTAGGCAAGTGAATCCCACTAATATCACGTAATAATTATTGAATGTGAAAGTTATTTATAGTTATATAATTTTGTAAAATTTACTATGATGTCGTGTTACTGTTATATTAAATATTTATTTATTTCATTAGTTTATTGTATCATTTTTTTTGTTCACTTAGCATTTTTTGAATAAATTTTATTATTTTTTGGAATAAAACTTACTACATTTTGGGATTTTTTTTTATTTTTTAATATGCTATCAAAAAAAATAAATATTGGTACCATATTGTTTTCCCCATTCTTAGATACTAGTCGATGCTTGGTTTCTCACTCTTAAATAATTATCTACTTTAAAAGTTAAGAACTTAAATTGGTGGAAAGGGATAACTTAAATACTTAGGGCGTAACGTAAGTATATATACTTCAATACGTCTCTTGCATGTAAGTTAAATTTTAGGCTTAGTATGTAAAATATATATATAGTAATGCTATTGAGATTTAATTTACTGACATAATTTGCTAACTTAATTTACTATGACTTTTGAATTGACTACAGATCCCATCAAACATTGAAATTTGGTGTTGATCCAATAATTCATATAAAATTATATTATTATCTTAACAAATTAAGTCAAATTTTTAGATTCAAATAATATTAATCTTTTTATAATAATTAGAGAAAAGTTAAATTTGAACAAAAATTTTCTGTTTTAATTTTACGTTAAACAATCATTTATTTCAAAAACGGGTGTGAAATTTAAATATATATATTTCAACATTCGCAGATCAATCTCTGTCTCTCTCTCTCTCAAAAAATCAAACCAGCTGCTCATGTTGTGATTTGCCCAAGTCCAAAAAAAAAACATGAGAGAAACAGAAGCAGTGTGCCATCAATGGTACAAAGTGCAGCCAGCAACCCTAACGTAGACGAAATAATCCAACCCGTATCTTCCAAACTGATTAAACCCACCCACAATATGCAATAAGGATTATGCACAGACCACACATCCCAAAGACAAGAAGAAAAAAAAAAAAAAGCCCATACCAAGTTGAAGAAAAATAAAACCTATTAATATTTACATTTTACACTTTCTAAATTTCATTTCTATTGTAATGAATGAGTGTTGAATTAAGGAGACTTTTACATGTAAAAAATCTAACCAAAAAACAAAGAAAATATTTTTCTTCACTTTCTTTCTTTCATTATTTTCCTCCATGTTTGGTTATGCTTCAATGAAACCAGTCATCCTGTGTATTGAATTCCGGACTTGACTCAAGTCCCGGCCTTTAAGAGTCCTCCCATTTCCAGTGCAGACGGAGAACGCCATTTTTCCGGCGATTCGCCGCCCCGAGATCACGTGGGGCGGCACTATCTCTCCATCATCAGCATCACAAAGTTCATCGTCAAAGAAGCCTGAATCCACCTGTTGAAACCTTGAATTCCCGGAAACATTTTTTGGAATTTTCACTGGAACTGAATTCTTCTTCTTTTTCCTTCTCATCAACTTGTTGTTTTGCGATTCCCAGGAATTTGAATGACCTGGGAACTCTTCGTCCACATCATTTTCCTGGAAAACAACTTCAGATTCTTGGAATTCTTTAGCCATGAAAAAATGGGTATGCCAAGATTTAAGTCTGTAATCTGTATACAACTCAATCTTTCTAAAAAACTCAGAGGAATGGAGAGAGAGAGAGAGAGGAATTGGGAAAAGGTAAAATTAGGGAGGAAATTTATAGGGAAATGGGTTGGGCGTGGAGAATCGGAATCGCAATGAGTACATTTTGATTTTGGCGTCAGATGGCGTTACTGTGGAGAGGGGTTTGAGTGCATTCCTAGCTTTCTCTCTCTAGATTACTTTCGTTGCCTGCCTTAAGTGTTCTGTCTCTACACGTTTAAAAGAAAAAACATCTTGGTTTCTTGTGGCTCACGGCTTTCATCTATAGCTTGTATACTTAATTTACTTCACTGTTTTGTCTCATCCTTAATTTGAATCTTTCTTCATTTTTAAGTTTTTTTAAATAGCGGACGTATCACAGATTGGTTTAATAATCAAGTTAAGTTTATCAAATTTATATTTTTATATGAAACTACAAAATTGTTCAAATTCAATTTGTTCAAAAAATAGTTGAAATTGAGCTGAGTCCAAAATGAGTGTAACTTAAATCGAGTTCATGTAGCCCGCTTATTTTACATATAAATAAGTCAAGTTTTATGAGCTCGAGTCAAATCTTTTAAACTCATTTTTCAAATAAGTATAAAAAATTATTAACCTCGACTCATTTGTAACACAAGTCAAGTTTGAGTAGAGTCCTATCTAAACCAAGTCCGAATAGTTCAACTCAATTATCAATCCTAGTCCTAAAATATACAAAATTTATGGAAAAATTTTCATCCACAACCTTTTTAGTTAAGTTTAAATTCAATGACACTCCATCTCGATTCTGAAACTTCACGAGATCTCTATTGTTTATACTTTCAAATCAAACTCATCACATTAATGGTAACTTGTAACGATTTAGTTTGCCCTCAACATTTTCCCCATTGCATATAGGAAAATTTTCATTTTTAACCCTGTAGTTAGGTTTAAATTCAATGACACCTTCTCTAAATTCTAAAACTTTACTGTATACCCTTCTGGTTGTATTTCAAATCAATGACACCCACTTTAACAATAACTTTTGCTTCTCTGACAATAGATAAAGTAATTATTTGACTAAATATTTTGTGAAAATGCCAAAATTATATTTTGTTATGCAAACATCACCACCGAAGGCACCAATTGCTCCTCCATCGCACTCTACCCTGCTGCAACCCCTTCTCTGAGAATAGTGAACAAGGACACTTCCTCTCCCCTTTGTCTTTCTCGCTTGGTGATGTGGTGGCTACTATGATTACTTGGGTGGGATCTGATGGTGGATAAGGTTCTTGGGGGGTGGAGGTGGTCTCGACAACGTCAATTTTGAGTATGTGATTTCGATTGAGGCAATTGTAACTGTGGCATGGGCATGGTACGGTGGTAGTTTTGGTGTTTTGTGGTAGAGATTTTGGGGTTAGGGGTCTACTTCATGGTGGCAGATTGGGTGGGTGTAGAATTAGTGGTGACAAAAGGGCTAGAATGTATATAGTAGATTTGGATTGTTGGGGCTTGGTCAATTGTCTGTGTGGGGTTTAATGATGGCTTGGGTGTTTTTAGTAGCAAATTTTGGGGTTGGGGTGTTCTAGATGGTGGCAAATATGGGTGGATGGTGTTTCGGTGGTGGTGGATTAGGGTGGAGTAAGTCTGTTGTGCATCTCTCTCTCTCACTACCCCCTACCCCCACCCCCAACACTTCTTGGTGGTTTTTTGCAACGATGGGTACACGGGTTAGGGTGGAAGGATTGGATGGGGGGAGGGGAATAATGGGGGTTGATTTTGTGCTAGATGCATTTAGGGGTTGAAGATGGATCGGGTGTGTTTTGAGAGGCATGGATAATTATTGGGTTTTCTCTTGAATTTTAGAGAATTTTATTTAAAATAATATGTTGATGTTATTCAATTTTGACGGTAAGTTGGATGGAGTTAACGACAAGGGATGTCTGTGTTATATGTACCCATAGTTCAAGGGATGATAATGTTATTTTGCATACATGAGGGGCTCCGTGTGAGTTAGTGACAAACCTAAAGGGATTTAGATGTAATTTACTCTAATAAAAATTACGATCGATAAAATCAATGTCAAAATCACATATATTTCTAACTCCTTTGTTATCATCTGTCATCCACAATGTCATTTAACCACTCTTTACACATCACCCTTCATATATAAAATTTAAAATATTATTTCGTAAAATTTAATTGAATAAATTTGATCTTAATTTGATCAATTTAAATGTTAATTTGATAAAATAAAATATTAATTAAGTGTTGATTTGATAAAATTTAATGTTAATTGAATAAATTTAAATATTGCTTCAATAAAATTGAATGTTTATTTGGTGTTAAATTAAATAACTGACATTAATTTGATAAGGTTAAATATTAAATTAATGCAATTTAATATATTAAATTTTAATTTAATAAAATTGAATGTCAATTTGATGTTGATTTGATGAACCTAAAAGTTAATATAATAAAACTAAAAAATAGTGCATTGAAATTTTAAAATCGAGATAGGGTATTGTTAAAGATAGGTTTATTCACAAGGAGTGTCGTTGAAGTTATGTCTTTTTACAAGGGGTGTGGATAAAATTTATCCTCTAAAATATTCAGGGGTATTTTTGTAAATTAACGATCACCATTAATATTGTAACCTGACGGGGTGACAGTAAAATTTTAAAATCACGAGAGGGTGTTATTAAATTTAGACCTAATTATAGGGGGTGTAGATAAAATTTTCCCAAATTTACAATATATCTCTAGCTGAACTCCTGATCCAACCTCAGCCCTACTGTCACGTCTATCTCAGTCTCATCTTAATATTATAAAATATATATTTTTTAATATATTACGTTAAAAAAATTAAAATTGAAGTAATTAATAAAGATTGTGAAGCATACTTTTGTTGAGCAACCAAAGAAAAACATCCAAAATCCTTTTTCTCCTTGCAAATTCCACCAAACCTTAATTTTGGCGGCCAAGAAAAAAAAAAAAAAAAAAACCAAACAATATCCAGTTAAAAACCACAACTTTTATCACCAAAAGAAAAAAAAACTTGATTTTGTTTCTCCATATTTTCTAGGCAAAAAATCAAACAAACCCATTCCCACCGTCCAAAAAATCGTGAATTATTAAAATTAAAAATAGGTATCCAAAAAGTTAGAAGTGGTTACGTAGACCATATGAAAGAATTGACTTGGAAGAGACCTAAGCTTTACTTTCAAATAATTTAAAATTCTAAAAAAAAAAAAAGATTTAGTAATTGAGAGATTTTCAAATGCTCTTTTTCCTAATTGATTGTTATAATATGTACTATAAATTACCATAATGAATAAATGGATTGTTCAACTGATTTTCATTTTGTTTTTAGGCACAAGTGGTTTCCTTTAGATAAAAATTTTGTGCAAATAATTTTTTTTCAAGACACTCGTTGTTTAGGATAATAATTGTAACATAAATTTCAAACCAATGTAGTTAACTATATATCATAAATTTTACTGGTAGGTCTTTGGTCTAATAGTACTCCTTGTCTTATAAAGGTTTTGCCTTGTTGAGGTCAAGGGTTCAAATCCTTCTTTCCCCTTTCCCCTCCCCCAAAAAAATAAAAAATAAAAATATATATCATAACCATCAATTTAATTTAGAATTTATATGGCTTTTTAAACTAGAATTCAAGCCGTAACTATTTTTGCATTAAAGTTGTTTGTACGGGCCCACTCAATATTGAATTTCAATTCGATGACACTAATCCCATAATTGTTCTTTTTTTAACAATTCCTAAATAATTTGACCCAAAAAAAAAAAACAAAAAACAATCCCTAAAGAATAGTTTAAATTCATTAGTGTTCATAAAATTATTAGTGTACATATATGTGAACATACATTTTTATGGTCTAATAAGAAAATAAAAAGTACAATAACTACATATTTATACAGACAAATATATATATATATATATAGATTCTTGTTGTGTATGGGCTATTCTCGGCCCTTTGCTGGGCTGAGATGTCTAGCCAGACTCCCCATCTTTGGAGCTGAACTACCCGACTCATGCTCAATTTTTGATACTCAATTCAACTCGATTTAACAAATTCTTGTCTTAATTTTTTTATGATGTCTTTGTACGCTCAGTGCTAAATGTGATACTCATGGAGATAAGTATGTGGAAAGTGCAATTCTTAAAAGTTAAAACACAACGTGGAGTTTACGATGAAAGTCTTAGGGATTGTTTGGTAAAAAAGTATGAGAGGGTTTGGTAACATGGGTTTGGAGAAAATAATCTTAAGGACGCCGAACCCCATGTTTGAATTGAAATTTTAATCTTAAGTTTTCAAACCCGGCCCGTAGCTGACCCGAATATTAAATTTATGATCATGAATTTTGTCAAATCTAAGGGAGTGATGGGTTTGGAAAGATAGGTTAAGGGGTTAAGGATACAAAATACAATTATACTCCTTAATATGAGTATAAATTAGATTGATCAATGATAAAATAATTATTTATAGGACAAATAGTTGTTAATAATTATGAAAGATCTATGTGTCCTACATGTGTATGTGTTGCATACCAAATATGGGTATGAACTAAATTAAATATTGAATATTATATTTATAAAGAGGAATTTGAGTTTGAAAAAGTTTGTCCAAACCCTTCCAAAAATCCATCTAAACAAGCACTTAATATCTAAGTTAAAAAAAAATATTGTCACCTTGACTGAATTTTGGTAAGAATAATAGTCACATGCACGGCTGATGGTGTCACTGCATAGGAAGTAAGAAGAAAATGAGTCATAGTGTCACCATTTTTCAGCTGTTTGAATGCAACTAATAAGAATGTGGACCTAATTTTGAAATCTAATCAAAGGACAATTTGAATTCAAAGGTCGGTTTCATCTAACATTGTAACTCACAATTAATTTAATAATTGTATTAAATTAGATCCATAATTAAGTCTCCGAATTAAATCCTTGTAATATTACTTATGGATTAATGGGATACTTGACGTACATCTATCTTTTTTGAAGAAAATGATATCTTTTTTAAGAAAATGACTCTACCAAAAAAAAAAAAACTTTTGAATGCTAGCAACTTTGTATGCCAAGAAGATCTATATAATAAAATATTTCGGTGTTTTAAATTTTATTTCATACATCACATTAGCTATTTTTATCACTTATTTAATCATTTAATATTTGATTAATTTATAATTTAACATAATTTTTATTTTAAATATTATTTATACACAATAATATACACATGTTAATGTTGGGATTTCACACGATTTAAATCCACTAACAAACACACACAATCGAAGAACAAATCAAGAATATAAAGCAATAAGAAACAAGAAATAACAAGACACAGATTTTACGTGGTTCGACAATTTGCCTACGTCCACGAAGCTGCAAGGATTTCACTATTGAGAGAGTTGAATACAGAGAGCGGTGTACAATCCACGATTAACCCTAATCACCAAAACAACAGGGTTTATATGTCCTACGCACTGGGCTGTATAACGGGCCCAAGCCTTCGCTCCATGGACTAAGCCTCAGAAAATTTTTCATTAAAAATCACACAACATTACTTTAGGTCGGGTCATTATCCGGATCACATATACAAACTAGACTCCATAAAAAAAACCAACAGTTAAAAAAAAATTATCAGATTACAGATTTTTGTTGATATTTTTTAAAAAATAATGGGTAAAATAAATTTTAAACGATAGAGTCAAATAAATTAAGAAAAAAAAATTATTAAAAAAAATTTATATTTCATTATACTTTCATGTTCGGGTGAGTTATTAACTAAAATACTTATATTATTGAGCTGATTGACAATGACTTTAACCTTATCCACAATTGTACGTACATTGATTTCGACTTTTTCTTTGATTTGGTTACATATTCGGCCAATGGACGCGTATATACTAGCGTGAATTCTTGTTTAACTAATAAAGTGTCAAAATCCAAGGTATTTGACGGATGAAAATTAGATTGAAACTACAATATTTCATTCACTTATACAACTTGGGTTTTGTATAGTTACAAAAGTCAATAATTGCAAAAAATTGGGTAGAGTAATAAGAAAATCTTGTACATTATATTGATCCTCATTTTTATTTGATGGTAAATCATCTATCGTTAGAGACGGATTCGTATATGTAAAATACTTTTGTGCTGTATAGGCACATATTTAAATTTTAACGCTTAACTTACAATAAAATAATTTGACTACGGTTTCAAGGCCCACGTTTTACGAATCTATGACATGGTATTGTATTGATGTAGTAGAAGTCTTAACACAATCATGTGTATTTTGGAATTTTAAGGATCACGCCACATGAAAACCAAAATCACCTTAATCAATAGTTATGGATGAGATTGAAGTCACTATCATTCCATGCATATAATTCAAGCTTCCACTTCACATGTAAAGAAAAACTTGTTACTAGAATAGACCCTTCTACAAAAAAATGTGTTGGAAGAAAATGATTGCAAATTGGTAAGGTTTGGGTACAAGATCACTGTCAATTTAAGTTATTAATTTCAAATTAAATGATTTGATTGGAGACATTAGTCTAGCTATATTCGTTCTTGAGAAGAGTAACAGGTGCAATTAAAATCATGATCCCGTTAGTGAAAGCTTATTGGGGTGGTCTTTGGGTGTTCTTCTTTACCTTCACCCCTTTTTTCAATAGCAAAAAAGAAAGAAAAGAATGATTTTCATTGGAAAATGATAAAACCATTTATAGAAAGGAAATTCTAATGCTTGGTGGATTGGGAGGATCAGAGACATGGGCATGTCTTGTAGGGGTGGGTGGTCATGGATTGGGCTTGATTATATATGGACCTACTAGCTTGGTCATGTGTGGGCTCACACACCCTGGGCCAGGCTTTTTGTTGAAGATGAAAAGGTGGTTCAGGCCCAATCCAAATTGTGTTTTTCATAAAATGAAACATCGGAAGAGTGGAGGCTAAAAAAGTAGGTCCCACCGAGATTTGAACTTAGGTTACTGGATTCAGAGTCCAATGCCCTCACCACTAGACCATGGGACCCTTTGTGCCACATTTTAAAATTTCAGAATAATTATTGTAGCAAACCAATAAACCCAAAAAATTATTTATGATTTGATCGGTTACACCACATGACAGCAGTAATGTGACATAATTATTATGTTGAGTATTTATTTATACTAACAAAACCCATTTTGAATTCTCCAAGTTAACAAAGCGCAAGGATAATTGAGATTGATTCTATCTTCATCCAATTTCATCCAAAAATTAATATTTCATCTTTCTAAAAAATTATTTTGCCCAAACTTAAAAATCCTCCCAATACTTGGCACATGGCCCAATGTCGAGCACCCATTATTCACCCCAATTCTTCTATAAGCTACAATCTTATTTTTAAATCTGTTTATTGTTAGTTTTTAGAGCAATTTCAACCATGTTATCTAAAATAACTACTTAAAATATATTTAAATATTGTATTATCTATTTTAGTTAATCACTTTTTCAAATTCACTTAAGCAACGCTATCTATTTTAGCTAACTACTTTAACTAACTTTCAATAATAAAATTTAAAAAATAGCAATTCAACTATACATTGTATAAATTTAATCAATTATGAGCTATAAAAATAAATATCATGAAAGACGAGCGACAAGAGTAAATATCATAAAATATTTAGGGGGTTTTGCTGAATTTTTTTAGAGGTTTTACTAAATTTTGGGGAGTTTTGCTAATTTTTGAATGAGTTTTATTGGATTTTTAGAGGGTTTAACTGAATTTTAACCGTCAACTCATCATGTTTCTCATTTTTTTTGGCTTAAATACAGAGTTTTTGAGAGAGAGAGAGAGAGAGAGAGAGACCATACCACAAAGAAAACGATGTGAAGAGCTTTTATTTTACAGAGGCCCCAAACCCTGCCGATTTATACGATGAAACCTTTTGTGGATTGAGCATTTGCGATGAAGTCTTCTAATTTTATAAATTCTGTTGGTGGAGCCTTTTTGTGAAGAACCCTTTGTATAGTTGAAGAAGACAATCAACGAAGGAGACTGAAAATTAGGGTGTTCCTCGCCAGTCAGCCAAATGAAGGTTATGCGAAATAGTTAGTGTGATAGTTAGTCTGTTGGAGACAATAGTTACGGATTGCCTCTGTAAAATAGCTAAAAAAAGTGTTTTATTGAGATCTTTGGATTGCTCTTAGATGATTATTAAAATTCTATTGTTTCATCAATTTTATGTGTAAAACAAAAACGTGGAGTCATAATCATGTTGGTTTTTTTTATGGAGTCTAGTTTGTATATGTGATCCGGATGATGACCCAACCCGAAGTAATGTTGTGTGGTTTTTAATGAAAAATTTTCTGAGGCTTAGTCCATGGAGCGAAGGGCTTGGGCCAATAGGCTCAAGCCGTAGCGCTCATGGATAAGCCTCGTGGGGGTTCGGTGGCAACGCCCTCGAGGAAAATTTTTTGGACCCGTTATACAGCCCAGTGCGTAAGACATATAAACCCTGTTGTTTGGTGATTAGGGTTCGTTGTGGATTGTACATCCGCTCTCTGTAATTCAACTCTCTCAATAATGAAATCCCTGCAGCTTCGTGGACATAGGCAAATTGCTGAACCACGTAAAATCTGTGTCTTGTTCTTTCTTGTTTCTTATTGTTTTATATTTTTGATTTGTTCTTCGATTGTGTGTGTTTGTTAATGAATTTAAATCGTGTTAAATCCCAACAAATCAGACTTTAAGAATATTTCCTACAAGGTTTTGTACACGTTTTTGTTTGATAATGAGTCCACGGTTGTAGAACACAGTGCACAACAAAAACACATATCACACAACACACACACCCCCCCCCACCCCCCCCCCCCCCCCCCCCCCCCCCCCCCCCAACAGAGTCTGTTTTTCAGGTGCGACCATAAGGTGTTTGGCAAAATGTCTGTAAAGAATGTAGATGTTTTTCAATTTTATTGCAACCAAACTTGGTTGTGTATTTCTCCATCGCATATTTGCTTCTTGGTATTAGACTAATTATTAGTTACATTATTTCTTTGCGCTGTTTTTGTGTTTATCCACAATCGAAACACCCACATAGCTTAGAACACACCCACACGGTTCACTTCACACACGCACAACACACAAGATATTTTTTGCTTTGCTTATATGAGCTGAAATTTTGCTCCTTTCTTTTTTCAGAGAACATCTACATAGATAACGGAGAGTGGGTCATCACTTTCCGCCACTGCACAATCTCAAGAACCACTGCAAATTTCTGTCTCTGTGTGTGGTTGTGTGTATGCGTTGGTCTTTTGTGACTGCTACTTTTCATGGTAAAGTGGAGGGGAAAAGTTAGTTGGACTCTCCCCTCTAACATCCCTCCCCACTCCCGTAATGATACCGTGTCCAAAAAAACTCAACCGGGTCTCTCTCTCTCCCTCTCAGAGCAGGGCTTGGTCGTCAAAATCTCATCTTGTAAGTTCTTCCACCAAGAAATACCTCAGTTCTTTGATTATACATACGTCTCTTTGCGCTTGTGTGTCTAGGTTAGTATGTTTATTTGTAAGGCTCTAATTTGATAATTGATATGCTATTAATTTTTCCATTTTTTCAGATTCTGTTTAATAGCTTGTTCTTCTTTTAGGGTTCTGTTTGTTTCCCAGAAACGTTTTCTGGGGATAGGAGTTGTTATTTTTTTTTTTGGGAAAATGGACTATGATCTGCTTAATTCTTGAACCCATTTTTGATAGCTGTGTAATCTTATTCATTTCTAGTGGGTTTAGAGTTGTCCTTTTTTTTTTTCAATTTTTTTTGAGTCTACTGTTCAACTTTTTTGCAATTTGAGCTATAAAAGCACCGTTGTCATATGATGAGGAAGTAGTAGAATTTCCATATGACTTTATACTGGACTTCCAGTACCCAATTATAAATCAAAGCAAATAAACGTTTAATTTGCAAATTTGTGCACCAATTTGGCTTGAATTCTATATGAATTTTCTCTCTAACTAGGTTTTGGCATTCAAATTAGTCTATTTAGGAAGTTGAACTCAGAAAAAGCAAAACCATACTCATTTATATTTAGGGACTCCCCAGTATAATCATTCACATGGTTTGCATTGATCATATATTGGTAATGAGCATGGACTCGTTTAGTGGCTGATATGGTGTAGTGATGGTTTCAGTAGTTGTCTTGCTTTGCACATGATGTTGGCTAAAACATGATTGATATGCAAGTGATACATTCCCTTTGCATATTTCAGAAGACAAATTTGTTTCATTTTCTAAGAGGGTATGTTATATCCCTATTCATTCCCCTATTCTGTATGAGGCTTTTAATATCTTTCTTTCCTGGTTGTCTCTATATCCATAAACGAGTTAATCCACCCTTAGTGTTCAGAATGTGGTTTGGCTTATCGATATTAACATGCATTTTGTGTGTTGTGTTGGTAATTTTAAGCATCTGCTACTGTTACCTGTCTTTATGAAAGTTGTTAGTGATTTGATTATAATATTTTATTTTCTAAGCAGTTTAAACTTGCAACATATTGATTCACATGTGTTTTTCCTTTTCCAATTGAGGTGTATGCTCTCTGTGGAGTAATTATCCCCCCACCCCCCCCTTTTTTTTCTCTATTTAGGTCAATTCATTTTCCACATAGTTGGTCCCTAGGGCAAGCAAGAATCTAAATTTAGTTTCATAAAATTTTCAAAAACAAAGGAAAATTTAAAATTTGTTTTTGAAACACTGGTTGACACATCTCGGAACATTCCGAAATACCTCGATACATAAAAAATTTCAATATTCAATCACTGATTCGTTTTGGTCTCGATGGAAACCTAAACGTTTGGTTTGGTTCAGTTCGGTTCGGTTTGAGTGCAAAAAATGAGGAATGCTATAAGTACATAACCATGCTATAAGGTTGAATCTAGAGGCTTGATCCTAGAGAAATAATTGATTACTTCCAAAATTTTGTAGGTTTGCTTATATTTTGAAGAAGTCAGAGTAATTTCTTCAGATGGTTTTCACAATGGAAACAAACTGTAGAATCAGAAAAGGGAAATGTGCCCTATACCTTAGGTATTCTTTAAATTGTTGCTGAAGTTTAAGTACATCACTATGCCCTTTCTTGCTAGCAGGAGCCCTATTTATCTCCAATTTCCAGTCGGAATAAAGCAGGTTAGCCTTGAGTTTCTTCAGTAATTATGTTGTGACTTCCAATGCCCTTTTGTTATACTTTTTTATTGTGATCTAAATTTTCTGTATGACGTATCCAGATAAGGATCTTTGGAGTAGATCCCTTGTTATGGTTCACGCATTTGAAGGCAACAGGGTTGACTGTGAAGGAAAGTAGGAATACCGTATGGTTCCTAACTTCCTCTTTTCGTGTTACTTTTTCTTATGAAGTTTCTCATGTACTTGGTTCTTTAGTTCTTGGGGTTTTTCTCTTTAAAAAAATTCCTGTCGATATGTAGATGAGGAGCATCTCCCCTGTCAAGTGCTCCCACAATCGGTCTGGACAACCTAATTCCAATCATGTTGAAAAGTAGGTTATTTTTCTTCCTCCAAACACTAGCACCATTTCCATAAGTCTTGAGCGTGTTACTTAGCTGTATCACTTTGTCTACTAGAATTATTTTTCCTTAGAAAATTGGTCAGCCCTTCATTCTATTGCCTGTATAATTTGTTTCCTTTTCTGTTCAAATTACTGCAAACTTTCTCTTAATATGGAATGCACGAAAATGATCAGGAATGCAGGAAAGAAAGAACACCATTTATGGAAGAAAAGAGATTCAACTAGCTCTGGGCAGAAGGCACTCAATCTTGTTCGAATTGTAAGTATGATCCATCATATCTCACTGTTCACAGAACCCTTTCTGCATTTTTGAGCTTAGGCAATTCCCTAAAATATTTATTATCTGGTCTAAGTGGGATCAATATGAGAATATGTGCAATTCCAAAGTATATGAACTTAACACAGTTTGGGTGCCGCTTAAATTCTATCTGTAATCCTCGAACTGGCAGGTTTCTGGACTTCCAAATGAGAAAGAGGCTATTTATGGAGCACTGGATAAATGGACAGCTTGGGAAACTGAATTTCCATTGATTGCAGCTACCAAGGCTCTACGAATTTTAAGGAAAAGGAACCAATGGATACGAGTAATTCAAGTATGGCACATTCAAAACTCTTTTCAAATTGTTGAGCTTGTGCAGAGGCCTATGTGTGATGACATGCTACAACTTATGCAATTTTTGTTCTTAAGTTGCTTTTTGAACTTGCGCTAGGGGGGGAAGGATGCCCAAGGTGTTGAAATTTCTGCATACTTCCATTAATATTATTATAATGCATTCGTATTGTAACTTGTTTTTTTGGTCAAGTTCATCGGGTCCATCCCCTGGTTTACACTAACTGATTCGTAGTTGGCAAATCTGAGAACCCTGGTTGGTCCACATTCATCCTTAAGTTAAAGCTATGCCCTGCACATCCCGAAGCCATAATTGGTTGTCATAGCCCTATCAAACATCAGCTGACTGTTAAATTTTGTACTGCATTTTAGGATAGATTTTAATTTCTCTTTTATTTTTTTTATGTGTTTTCAATATGGACTTACAAACAGATCTCAACTGGGTTGATGAGGTTCAGTTTGGGTAAGCAGGCTAGTATTGAGTATTTGAAGCTGATAGCCGAATTATGTTGACTTGGTCCTGGCTAATGCAACTTATCAAAAAGGTGGTACCTTAACTTCTCAGGGTTCTTAGAGCAGTCATGCTCTTGATGGCTAGTTATTAGATATGCTTGAAAAAGTCGAAAATTGCTTAATTTGGAAAGCAAGTTTGTTAAGTTTGGAAGATTAACATAATATTAGAGATAATATTTAGGGAGAAATAGAGAAGACAATATTTAGGGAGAAACACAGAGAGGTTAAAAAACTTAACCTAGCTCTCATACATCACTTGTATTTATATTTAACTCACAATAAAAAGAATTACACATACACTCTCTTACTATTAACAATTTACACATACTACCTTACTATTCTTAACACTCTCCCTCAAGTTGGACTATATATATCATATGATCCAAGGTTGGAATAAATGGTTGTAAGACGTGTACGATTCAATGCTTTGGTAAACATATCTACAAGCTGATTTTCAGATTTCACAAATAGAGTTATAATCTCCCCAGCTATTATCTTGTCTCGAATAAAGTGAAAATCAACCTCAATATGTTTAGTTCTCTTGTGAAACACCAGATTAATAGCGATATGGATAGCTGCCTGGTTGTCACAGAACAACTGTAAATGAAGTTGAACTGAAAACCCAATTTCTTGGAGGAAGTGTAGTAGCCAAGTCAACTCACTCATCGTATGCGCCATTGCCCTATACTCAGCCTCAGCACTGGATCTTGCTACCACGGATTGTTTCTTACTTTTCCATGAGACAACGTTACCTCCTAAGAAAGTACAATAACTGGTGGTTGATCTCCGATCAGAAGGGGAGCCAGTCCAATCAGCAGCTGAGAAATCTTTCACTCTAAGATGTCCATTAGCTCGATATAATAGTTCAAGTCCAGGAGCACGTTTGATATATCACAGAATACGAGTAATTGCCTCCCAATGTGGTACTCTAGGACACCCCATGAACTGATTTATTATATTGACTGCATAGGAAATATCCGGTCGAGTAGAGTAATAGTGGGATAATTGAGCTTTCTAACCAATTTGCGATACCGACCCGAATTCTCAAACAGCGCACCATCATCCATCAAGAGTTTCTAATTCGATTCTATAGGAATATCAATAGGTTTACCATCCAACAAACCTGCTTCCTCTAACATGTCAAGTACATATTTCCTCTGGGATAAACAAATACCCTGTTTAGATCGAGCCACCTCAATACCTAAGAAATACCTGAGTTTTTTCAAATCCTTAGTATGAAAACGATCTTGCAAGAATATTTTTAATTTGGCAATCCCCTCAGAATTATTTCCAGTAATCACAATATCTACACAGACCACCAATAAAACATATCCAGCATCTGTCTGTCTATGAAACACAGAATGATTTGTTTGACATTGAAGAAGACTGAATTCTAAAACTGCATCTGAAAACTTACTAAATCATGCCTTCGGTGACTGCTTCAAACCATATAAAGATTTTTATAACTGACATACACTCTTACCATACTCTCCCTGAGCAGTAAACCCAAGTGGCTGCACTATGTATACCTCTTCAACTAAGTCACCATGTAGGAAGACATTTTTGATGTCTAACTGAAACAAGGGTCAATCAAGATTAGCAGCTAAAGAAATCAAGATACGAATAGAGGAGATTTTGGCAACAGGAGAGAAAGTCTTCTCATAATCAACACTATAGGTTTGAGTAAAGCTCTTTGCAGCAAGTCAGGCTTTGAGACGCTCTACAGAACCATCCGGATGTAATTTAACAGTATACATCCAACGACAACCAACAGTTCGTTTACCAGGAGGTAAAGAAATGAGATCCCAAGTCCCATTATGATGTAAGACATCCATCTCATCCTCCATAGCTTTCCTCCAATCTGGATCAAATAATACATCCTGTAAATGCTTAGGAATAGATATAGTAGATAATTGAGAGATAAAATAAGAGAAGACATGAGACAAGGCATCATATGAAACAAAATGAATAATGAGATAATTAGTAACACATGAACGAGTACCTTTTCGAAAAGCAATAAGTAGAGAATTTAAATTACCTGATGAATCAAGATCCGCAGACGGCAAGGAAGACGGTGCGAGCACCTCCGGCGATGGGCGAGGATGGCGAGAATAGACACAGAGAGGTAAAGTAGATGGTAACACAGTGGGCAGCGGAATATCTGAAGATGAGGAAAGAGAGGGTGGTGCAAGAGATGACCCAAAGTCCATATTCAAAGGTTGAAAAGGTGCTAAAAAATATGGAACAGATTCCTCAAACATGACATCGACATTAGTAAAGTATCAGCGTAGAGAAGGACTGTAACAATGATACCCCTCTTGCGTGCAAGAGTAATCAAGAAATACACATTTGATAGCTTGAGGGTCAAGTTTGTCAAATCCAGGACCCAAATTGTGAACATAACAGACACATCCAAAAACCTTACGAGTCAAGAAAAATAAGGGTTTACCAGGAAAAAGAACAGAATATGGACTTTGCCATTTAATATAGAGGATAACATACGATTAATAAGGTGACAAGCAGTAAGAACAACATTACTCTAAAAATATCAGAGAATATTCATCTGGAATAACAGGGAATGAGTGACTTCCAACAAATAACGGTTTTTGTGTTCAGCAACACCATTTTATAGAGGTATAAGCACAAGAAGTCTGATAAATAATGCTAGTTTTACTAAAATAAGCTAAAAAATGATCATATTTATATTTTCGAGCATTATCAGAATGTAAAGTACGTATACGACAACCATACTGAGTTTTTATTTCCTTACGAAAGATCTCAAATATAGAGAATAATTCAGACTGGACTTTCATAAAAAACAACTAAGTCACATGAGAATAGTCATCCACAAATGTTATAAAATAAGGATATTTATTAGATGAAATATTCTTTATGAGACCCCATACATCAGAATGTACTAACTCAAATGGACTAGACACACAATTATTGACTTTAGATTGAAAAGACACACGGTGATGCTTATTAAGTTGACAAGCTTCACAAGACAAAGATGATGTATAACTAAAGCTGGGAACTTGGCACTTCAGATTCTGGAGAGAGGGATGTCCAAGACGACAATGTAATTGAAAAGGAGATAACGAGGTTTGTAGAGCCTGGGTAGGTGAATCAAAGTCAAGGTGATATAGGCCATTAGCTTCATGTACCGTACCAATCTTCCTCTTCGCCTTGAGATCCTGAAAGACACAATAAGAGGGATAAAAAGTTACTTAACAATTCAGAGAACGGGTAATCTTACTAATAGAAAGTAAACTAAAAGGAAACTTAAGAACAAATAACACCGAACATAGGGATTTATCAAAATTCAAGTGAGCAGTTCCTAGACCTGAAACTTTAGAACAAGTACCATTAGTAAGAATAACGCTACGTGTGGAAGTAGCAGACTGATAAGTAGAAAAAATATTAGACGCACCAGTCATGTGGTCAGAAGTGCCAACATTTATGATTTAGGGACTGCGAGTGGAAGACAATAAACAAGTGGAAGCAATACTTTACTGGGCAAAAGTAGCAGTGGAGGGAGATGGGATAGCCTGTTGTTGGGATAAGAACTGAGCATACTCTTCTCGTGTAATAGTAACCAACCCAGTGTCTTGCTTGGGTTCCATAAGTGTAGCAAATAGAAAAAGAAAATTAGTAGATCATTGAACCGGACAAGAATCACCTACTGCACTGCTGAACCAGAAGAAAAACGAATACTAGAGGGCTGAACCGGACAGCCTGATGGCACTGGCCTGATGAACCGGACAATCTAAGGCCGTTGGACCACTGAACCAGGACTAACTTGGATTGTGAACCACTGAACCAGCAGAACCCTTGATTGGGTTGGGTTCTTTTAAAACACCAATGGACTGGGTCTTTTAACCAGAAGAAGATACCCAAGTGCTACTGGGTATTCGTCTTCCTAGCGAGACCCTAGCAACAATCCTCTATAACCCTAGCTTTAGTCGGCGTGAGATAGAAAGCAACTCGGGCAACAACAGCGATCTGAATGGGGCTTGGACTTCTTCGCGAGGCCCTGGTGATCTGAAAGGAGAAGCCCAAGCTTATAACACTAAGAGTCCTTTGTCTTCTTTGAAGGCCCAGTCACAGAAACCCTAGCAACGCTAGCAACAGCGAGACGTAGGCACCTTTGTCGACTAATTCAAACACAAACAAGTTTTCTGATGAGAATAAGGCACCAGATAAACCTATATGCAACAAACTTCCACCGGAGATACAACTGTGCACTACGCCTCCATGAACCACAACGAGGAAGCTCTGATAATCACTCCTTCAGAGCTCCATGAATAGACAAACACCACCACACCAGTCCACAACAGTACCACCACCACCACAAGCTATCGACAAACACCACCACACCAGTACCACAATAGTACCAACGAACAAAAAATTAATTTATTAAGAATATATATTTATGATCGTAATGCTCTGATACCATGTTAAGTTTAGAAGATTAACATAATATTAGAAACAATATTTAGAGATAAACAGAGAAGACAATATTTACGGAGAAATAGAGAGAGGTTAAAAAACTTAACCTAGCTCTCATACATCACTTGTATTTATACTTAACTCACAATAATAAGAATTACACATACACCCTCTTACTATTAACAATTTACACATACTATCCTACTATTCTTAACAAAGTTTATGGAAATTGTGTTTCAAATATAATATTAAAAATTTGAGAGTATTACAAATCAGAGATACTTGGGTTGAAACTTTGGTTGAGTCACTGTCTTGTTTGTTGTGTGGATGGCTTAATATGCCAAATAGTATCAAGTGTCAGCAACATATGCATGTGATATGTGGACTTGGGAAAATGTGCTGAACTGTGAACATGTGAAGAGCTCTGTGGTTGTAATGTTGGGAGCATAACATGTGGAATGATCTTGGTGCATAATCATATTAGATGTCCTACATGTAGCGAAATCGGCTACATGACATTTTATTGGGTTTCTGGCCACTGATTCTCAGTGCTACTCAGGTGGCCAAGTGGATGTTGAGCAAAGGTCAAGGAGTGACAATGGGAACATATGACATCCTTCTACAGGCATTTGATGTGGATCGAAGGGTAGAGGAAGCAGAAATATTATGGAACATGATTCTGCATGCACATACCCGCTCTGTCTCAAAGCGCTTGTTTTCTCGAATGATCTCTCTGTATGATCATCATAATATGCCAGATAAGATTATAGAGGTATCTTAGAAACTCTCCAGGCTAGCATCTATCCCAAATTCCTGCTAGTATATTTACTTTGGGTGCATGCACTAATTTTCTGAACTTCTGCATATTAGCAAGCCTCTATACACAAAATGTGCCTGTTGGTGCTAAAAAGGCAATCTTTTCATGGAAAAATTTCAGGTATTTGCGGATATGGAGGAGTTAGGCGTGAAGCCTGATGAAGATACTGTAAGGAAAATTGCCCATGCCTTGCAAAATCTAGGGCAGGAAGACAAGCAGAAACTTTTCCTTAAAAAGTATCAGAGTAAATGGAAATATATCCATTTTAAGGGCGAAAGGGTTAGGGTAAGAACAGATGCATGGAATGAATAGAGTTGTATAGACTTGGGCCCATGGATAAAGGTTGAACCAAAAAATTGGCACCAGGGACTCTTGGAATAGAAACCAACTTGCCATTCATCTTCTTATCATGTTGGTCTTGACACATCACTGATTGCAATCCCAGAAAAAGGTGCTATTTTGACCCGTTGATCCATATTAATGCCCGATCTTTTGCTCTACCAATGAATCAATGATACAGACACGCACAAGAAAATGGGGCAAGATATGGTTGCTTGACATGGATCTTTAACTGTAAGAATCTGACACTACCATTGTTGCATTTAGAGCATGTTCTGGAACCGGGAAACAGAATCAATCCTTGCAAAAGAGTCCATTGTATGCGATTCTGGGGCAATTGTCTTTCTGAAGAATTGATCTTAGTCGTTTAGTCTTGGTTGAATTGCCAATGTTGCAATTGCCACTCTGAAGTTAGTGGTGGCGATGACTGCATTGACAATGGCTCAACACTACCAACTGAGCCAATCCATTTCACAGAGATGCACCAATTTCACTTCAGTTTTGTCTAATGTTCAGGGAGCATGCAGTTCACGGATCTAGACCCTTCTAGTATATTTTTTTCCTCAATTTCATTCAAAGGGACGTTACTCCCCATGCCTTTGCGGGGATCCACTTCATATGGTAGGTCTCACTTCAATTCAATGATGTATCACTGAAAGAAATTGAATAAAATGTATTGGACAGGTTCTGAATCTACAGTTCACCGTTGCAATGTTATTAACCTGGTCACAAGCTTACTGTGGCTACAAGGTAAACTTTTGTACTTCATCCAAGACTAGAAAATGAGACATGCTTGAAAAGAGAGAGAGAGAGAGAGAGAGAGAGAGATTCTAACTATTCTACATCATTCAGAAATCTCCAATTACTCAATGCGGTAGATTTGTACATTTTCTTTCATAATCCTATGCTTAGAAAACTATCAATTAAAAAGAGAACTAAGAAAATCCAAAGCAACTACGCCAACGATACTGCCATGGGACTTCGGACATGATGGATTCCATCGGTCCAAGTGTACCATCCGAATGCATATTCGTCTTTGCCAATCGTGCTAGCCGATTCACTAGTTGCTTCCACAGTAATGGTGAATTTCTTCTTCTCTCCAACTTTGTTAAAGACTAGTATAGGTGGAGAGACCTTGACAGAGAATCCCAATGGCGGTTTAACGCTAGCAAAGTACACGCTCTTAGGCCCACCGACATTTGTGACCGTTCTCTCCACCGTCACAATGCCATTGAGCTTGGGAATGGAAAGGGATGGATAGTTGAGATTGTTAGGTGAAGGTGGATTTTTAGGACACTTAAAGGAAGGGTCCATGGTATCGAGTCTGCTACCACAAAGGAAGAGAAGGTAGTCAGTATACGAGGCGTCGTAGACTAGTCCAGGATCAGCTGCCATTGTTGGCCGGAAATGACCCGAGCCGAATTGGAAGGGATCTGCCGGATTCCCCAATGCATCGGTTATTAGCCTACCCTTGTTGTTGGTCATTGTAGCTGCAATGTAGATATGGAACATTAGAACAAAGAGCATTGGCAGTAATATAAAAGTAGCTCAATAGGGTATGAAACATAGGATTATGTGACACTTGAGTAACAAACATTCACAACTACTCTATGTTTTGTACATGAGTGAGGTTGACAGACCCATTTTCTTGAACTAATGTCTATAACTTGAAAACTTGGATGACCAAACTCCTGATAAAATGGATGTACTTCTCCCTCATCCAAGGATCAAGATTATTTCACATTCCCAAGAGGACCGAAACACTATGATTTCAGTGACAACCAGAACGAAACCGTGATTCAATATCAAAATTTCTATGTTTCACTGTTTCAGTGTGTTTGAGATATATTGGCTAGTGCTTTAGATGGTTTTAGAATTGAAACTCCAAATTATTTTGCCTCCAATATTCTTTCGACACATTTTTGAAACATTATCGAATTTTTCTGTTTCAAAGTTTATAGTGAAATGTGAAAATAAAATTGTTTTGTACATGAGTGAATTCTGGTGTGCTTCACTTTCCACCAGGCTTCATGCCCAAATTGTTGTGTAATGCTCTGGCTCAATCATGTAATTTGTGGATATTATGGCATTAGACATGATCAATAAAGCAAGTAGATAAGTAGTACCAAGACTCAATCTAAAGCCCAAAAAGTGTTATGTACCTGAGGTCATAAGAGCAGATCTTATAGCAGCACTGCTCCAGTGGGGATGTATAGACTTGATAAGTGCAGCTGCAGCAGCCACATGAGGGCATGACATAGAAGTCCCTGAGTCAAGGTTATACTGCACTACTCTGTGATCACTTGCCTTCTTTGTAGGGGATGATGCCTCACTCCATGCTGCCAATATATTCAGCCCTGGCGCCGTGATATCGGGCTGTCAAGCAACCCAACCAAAAAAAAAAAAATCAGAAATTCGAAATTACCTCAATTATCATGTTCCTCAATCACTTTGCCTCGTACATGATGTGAAGTAATTGAGGTGCCAATGCAAAAAATTTAATACTTCAAGGGGCAAAGTGCAATTGAATCCATAGTTAAGGGGGTCAAAATATAATTTTTACGGTAAATAAATCAGCTGGATTGATGAGTTCTCTTAATTGTAGATGTATTAAAATGGTGTCAATAACCTTGAGGATGCCAGGTGAAATAGTGCTTGGACCACGACTGGAGAAGGAAGCCATGAATGGAGCTGGCTTGTAATGTATTTTTGTTCTTGCCGGGGTGATATAACCCATCGGATTCTTGGCAGAATTGATGTATTCAAGGATTTTGATTGCATTGTCTGAATTTACATCAGTTGCAGGAAGAACATGAGTATCATCCTGTATCTCGGCTCCATTTGCCGGGTTGTTTCCTAAGATAAAGCCAGAACCTCCAGCCCTTTTCACCTCTTCTCCTTTTCCAATTCTTGTTCCTTGTCCTCTCAAGCACATCACAATCTTTCCCTTTGTTTTCTCTGGTGAGAGAGACCCTGGTAGGCATTGCCTGAAAATTTTCAATGATCAGAAAATCAGTATGGAAAATGTTTATAACAATAGAGAAAATGTCAAGAATTGAAGAAAAAGATTACCCTGCAGCATTTTTTGGCACGTCAGGGTTTACTACTTGTGCTGCATAGACTAGGGGGTACATTTTTCTCTTCAGCTTGTATGTAGTTAGTGTGTGTCCCTGATATTGATTAGGTCAACAAGCTAGTGAAACTCAACAAAGACACATCAACATATCATACAATTTACCATTTTTTCATTTCACTACAAAAAAAAAAAAAAAAAATAGCAACGACCCCTTTCATTACTTCAATTTTTTAAGGAATCGTCGTTCTATTAATTGTGTTACATAGTCTCTTAATCGAACAGGTGCCTTCCATGACCGCACTTGAAAGATACTATCAAAAATCTTGTGGGTGAAATTGTAATTTTTTTTAATTTTTTGTGGGTGGAAGTGTAATTCTTTTGAAGAGTACAAAATTATTACACTTTCACCTCCAAAACTCTCAGATTTTCCAAAATACCCTTCAATTATAATGACCATTTCCATTAATCAATTTATACCAATTGTTCCGATCGGAACAATTAGACTCAATTTGAAAACCTGAATGACTAAAAGGTGAGGACTAAAGTGACACAAAACGCTAACATTAACGACTATTTTACTCGTATACCTCAATTTCCTCGCCATTTCCAAGCATGACTGAAGCTACAAAAGCCCGGTCCACACTGCTAGCAGCAACAGTGATCATCCAAGGTGCCGGATTAGACAAAGTTTCCAGTACCGGACCCAAATTCCCGGCACTACAAGCCACAACAATCTCCTTCTTGATGGACTGAAGTGCAGCCTTTGCAATACCGTCCTGATCATATGGATAAGGAGTACTAGTCACAACTGAAATACTCAAAACATGAACACCATCAGCAACGGCATCATCTATAGCAGCTAACAGGTCTTCCTCGAAGCATGTGTTCCCTAATTCTTTGCCTTGGTATGGAATTGCCCAGCAGGCCTTGTACATGGCGAGACGGGCAAGTGGAGCGCCACCTGAGGCTGTGCCACGGGCAAAGCCACCAATGAACGACACGTTAGGGACGCGTTGGCCTCCTACGATGGAGGATGTGTGACTTCCGTGACCGTCCCAATCGCGCGGTGATCGGCAGTCCAAGGTGGTGTTTAGGGGGCCGTATATTGCCTCGTAGCCTTTCAGGTAGTATCGAGCACCGATCACCTTCCTACAAAAATGTCAACAGTACACACAGGATTTTAATTTCAATGTAATGTAGGGTTTTGTTTTTTGTGTTTTTGAAGTACCTTTGGATTAATCCGGTTAGTTTAGTAGTCAAGCAAGAGAAAAAAAAACACATAAACTCCCACTTCTTGGCAGCCAAAAAACCGACGCTCTTAGTTTAAGGATAAGTTTGTGCCGTAATCATAAAATCAAATGACATGTGATTGAGATGATTTTGTATTATAGTACCTTTTTATTGCATGTCTACCAAAGGGCAACTAAAAAGAAATAATAATAAACACACTGATAGACTGTTTAAACCAAAACAGCCTAAGATACACACAAATGCAAATTCTCTATATGAATGATTTTCAGTTCACGATTGATGCCAATTGTCTCAGTACCTTGCATTGTTTGGGTAGGACAAATACAATAAACTTACTGCTCTCTCTCTCTCTCTCTCTCTCTCTCTCTCTCTCTCTCCATACATATGTGCAATGCTAGACAAAAACATAGATAAACGATATATAACACTGATATGACGGTGCTTTTTAGAAAGTATGAGCTCCAAATGACTTGGAACTAATGACCTACATTTCTAAACAACAATAAAGTATACAAATTGCTGTTTTATTTAACTTCCACATTTTGTTTTTGTCATACACTATTACAGAGAGCCAGAGAGGGGGTCACAAATTTCGAACCCGCTAACATCAAACAAAGGGATGCAGTGCCACATATGTGTGTCTCTTCAAGCACCCTATCTTCCTTCAATTATGCCTAAAAAATCTGACCTCACAGCGCATGAAAATGAAGGGTCAAACTGAAAAGAAAGAGAAATGAGCCCACCCTCCTATACCTATAACATGTGTATAACATGATTGGGTCACAGCCAAATTCTCAGACACCTAGCCGTGACTGGGTCCTGAGAAAATACGTAATGAACGCATAGGACATAATTGTGGATGTCTGTTATTTCGTTGTCAGTTTTATATTTTATGTACTCTGACATTAAAAATGTTGGGAGTTTAATTGAAAATTTTTCTCCAATTCATCAGCCTTTCAGATAGTATCGAGCACCAGATAAACCTATGTTCGAATTTAAATACTTGTTCTATTAGGAAACAACGATATCTAGATTCTGCTAAAATTATAAATCTGGATATATTTTAAATCAATTGAGAGAACTCTTTATCATTCTATATCTGATACTAAAGCTGTCTTTGAGGGTTGTTAGTGGACATGGACTTTCGAATCAAACCACACAAATTCATATGTTTTGAGTGAGTATATTTTATTTTGCTGTCTAATTGTGTGTCTCATGCATAACAAATAGAAAGAATATAAGTTCACATAATTTACTTTTTGACTGGAAGTTGAAAAAGGTAGGAATCATCAAGACAAGATGGCCAAGCCAACTAAGAGATGAAAGGAAGGACAACCATGTAGGACAGCATGCAAGGACAATGGACACTTTCTTTGAAAACCCTTGCCTTGATGTTTTCGAAAATGTCCAAGATGAATAAGGTTTTGTGGTCTAAATCAACCTAATATCACTTTCCAATTCATCTGTTCAAATTGTGCCATAAGACTGGACTTGGCAATGGTATATGTTATCAACGACACTATAAAACAAGAGAAATACAGAACATAACAGTCAATGTGGTTCAACTTAAAAAGGTTATAAGTTACACCATTAAAGAAGAAAAGTACAAATAGTTCTCTTAAAGAAGAATGTAACTTCAATTTATATTTTTTTCAACATCAAAATGTACTTGAAAAACATGTTTTCATTACAAAAATTTAGAAAGAATGTTTTTTACTCACTTTTATGAAAAATGTTGGTTACTTTTATGAAAATTTAGAATGTACTTTTACGAATCTTTCACCTAAATGTAATAAGAATTCTTCTACCACAAGTCATCTGTAACAAAAATTACAATGCGCATAGTGAATACAGTCAACAACATACCTCAAGAACATTCAAGGCCAGTAATGTTGGGTCAAGTGTACTCGAAATATGCATGTATCCAATTATGTGTATTCATAAGAAAAAAAAAAACTTGTTTCAACTCTTTTAAGTGATGGTGGAATGTGCTTCAGCCACCTACATCCACATGCAAAGATTCTAACACAGGACCACCCAATCAGAGATCTACCTAATCATTCATTCAAGTTTCTCTTGCAGCCCCTCATCAACAACTATGCAACAAAATCAAGTTGTTACTTAGTAAATGTGCTACAATGTTGTTCCAAGAGTTGTATAAAGCAAACCATTCGAGCAAGATAACAACTTTGAAATTCCATGTTCAACTCCTACTCTATCCATAACCAGACACGTGTGGTTTACAGATAATTACGCATATAATGAGCTAAAAAATTTTACGGTTGAGTCTATTTTTCAGATCCAAATCCTCACTTTTTTCCGATTTCTCTTAAGAACATTCATCAAAAAATAAAAGTATGTTCAATTATAATTTTATAAAAATTGAATTAGATGCATCCCATGTGATGAAATAAAAAAAAAGTCTACCTAAAATTTTACCACTTTGGACTGAGATGTGAACCAAAATGAGTCAAGGTTTAAACCTTTAACTAGAAGGAGGAGAGAATTAGTTGAAATGCGTGTAAGTTAATCGAACACTCCTGATTATTGAACAAAAAAAAGCCTTGGGGCTAACAAAAATGTGCCACAATGGAAGAGATGAATTGGTGTGAGATTACAGAAACTCATAACTAAAATTGAGAAAACACTATGAATTTTAGACAACAAGATAAGAGTTCCACAAATCCATAGGAATCTTCTTTTCGGGTCAGATTTAAAAAATGGGCTCCAAAAATTGTTATGGGAAAAAATTTCAATTAAAATCCAACATGTTTAATATAGAGTAGATACGAATTGAAGTGGGATACAAAGCATCCGCAACAATATCAAATGATCTCAAACCCATCTAGCTAGCCAAGCCGTCTGATTGGTAGAATTGAAATGATTAAGCCAACATGGCTAGGGAAAGAATATGCATAGTCTTGGCTCTGATGGGGCATGCAAAATTCCTGTCATCCCACCCTCTTGGTTCTGGCTCATAGATAGGGGTCACTAGTTCACCATTACAAGTCACAAGCTCTACTTCCATTCATTCCTGAAGTGTGGTTAGAATCATAATGAGTTTCAAATACCTTATTTAAACTCGCTCATTAACTTATACCTAATCTCAAGTTTGGCTAGCCTCTTAAAAAACAAACGAGTTCAAACTTGTGTTTAAGAGTTAAACTCGAGTTAAGACTTGAGTTTGTGGTGAACTAACAGAGAGAACAAGTGTTGGTCTTCAATTGTTTGGTACAAATTATTGAGGCTATTGCCGTCAAACTGCTATCAGTTGTCATTGAAGCTAAAACAAGAAAAGAATATTTCCCAAGAACCCAATAGCTTCCAAAAATCAGGCTCAGGTGGTTCATATGTGAAAGAAAAAAAATTCAGTCATGGTATCTTCTATTCAGCTTCACAACATTGAAAAGCAACCACAGAATGAAATAAGAAAGCTATATGCCACCAAAAGAATTGAAATACACTCACTTATTGCAGTTCGATAAGGTGAAAGCTTGTCCGGTTTGGCAAACTCCTTTCCATGATTTTGGAATTGGTCCCATCCCTTCATCGCTGAAGCTCTTTGATTCTGGCCACAAACCTGACCAACAACACCCCCATCAGAACTCAGAAGTAATCTCATATACCAAAAGTTATGATGTTAAGTTACGACTTAAAAAGATCGATCTAAAACACTTAGAATCGATCTCAAACTTTTAATGTCATTAGTTGTAACTTTGACCTTACTGAATCATAACTTAGACCTTATTAAATTATCATACCTTATTTACATGGATTACAATTTGGTTGTGTAAGAATCTATATAAAATTGTGTATAGACTATAGAGTGCATTGTTGGGATAGCGTTATTACCACTATCTAAGACGCCAACTATGACATCTTGGCCATATCTGGCTCTCAGTAACAAGTCTTCTTTCTTCAACTTGGTATGTATTCCCTCTTGTAACCCTACAAACTCCCATGACCTTGTAGTCTGCAAAGAGTACTTCTTCGGGTCGCTTTGATAAACCGATACCACTTCCTCCATCTCTGTTACAAAGCAATTCTTAGATAAATTCAGAGAGAGAGCGAGAGATTCAAGGAAAGACACGGGTTTCGTTTACCGGACAGTTTGGAGGCTTCATCTGTGGTGAGCAGTGCAGCGAAGCCATTGATGCTGTGCTTGTAGCTGTAAAGAAGAGAAGCTCTAGCTTCTTCCTCAGTCTTTTTCACAGAAAAAAGATAAGAGTGATGGGTTTCTTCAATTTCATGCAATGTTTTTTCTTCGCTATGCTCTCTGAAGTGGACGATATAGACCTGTAAAAATCATGAGACATGAGACCATAACAGCCATAAAAGCACACATAAACACACACTCACGGTGTTTTTGCACACAGACTAGATATGAATATTCAAGAACCTGTCTTTCAACACATGAAGCCAAGAGAGGAAGAAGAAGCAGGAGAGAGAATATTGAATTCTTCATTGTCAAAGACACGAGGTCCATGGAATATAGAAATGATATATATCATGGGTATATATATATATATATGTTTATTCTGTTTAGAATCCTTTTGAATCCCAAAAACTAGTTATTCAGGTATACAAGGATTGTATTACCTGTAATCAACTTTTAATATATTTCTTGTGGACCAATAAAAGCCTGCCACGTCACCATTTTTTTGGGGACTTATCAAGTAATTAAGCTTAAAAGCCAAGAGGGTAAGGTTCAAATACTATAGGGTGGGGCACTTCTGAATCTAGCTGCATATTTGAAAAAAATTACCAAATTTAGAAAATGAATTTAAACTATAAGAGAAATGTTATATGGACTTAAAAAGTAGATTTAAAAACTAGAATTGATAATTAGAATCATTGATTTCACTATGGGTCCCAGTATTTATTGGGACCCACTACTTATTTGATGGTTAAAATTATCAAATCTAATTTTTAAATTAATTTAACATTACTCAAACTATAATTATCTATACCGGAAGAGATATAAAGTCTTCATATTTTTTGGACTTCTATTACTATGAGAACTCTTTTTTTTTTGAACTGTTGAGAACTCTTTGTTTATGGCAGTGTTTTAATAATACAATTGAACATCAAAGTAATTAAAAAAATTATATAAGAAAGAGAAATTTGTTTTGATTTCATTTAAGAGAAAGGTTATTTCTTGGAGGACTGAAAGAAGTTATATTTAGGTCAACTACCAATGCATGAAGTACGTTGGACGTGAATAATTTAAATAATATTTTTTTTGTTAAATTTATGAAAATATAAATTTTATGTGTCATTAAATTAAATGATAAATATGGTATCAAAAAATTAATTTTTATTTTATTTATTACTAAACCTTATTATTAAAAAAAAATTAAATATAACATATATTTGATATTTAGAATCCAATTTGATAACTATATGTATACACAATATAATATAGATTCGTCTTTACTACTTCATATAAATATAGGCATATATATGAAATTTTTTATATAAGTGTACTATTTATAAATGAGCTCAAAAAAATTTAGAAGGTAAATACTACTTATAAAATTTACCTTCAAAAAAAAAATACTACTATTTATAAAAGAGTTCAAAAGAACTTGAAAATCAAATTATGTATAAACAAATTATATGAAGGCATAAGAATATAATTGATTTTATAAAAATTAGGTTAGAAATACACAACGTGGTGAACATATTTAAATGATAATTTTTTGTTAAACATACAAAAAAATATAGATTATATGTGACATTGAATTGAATAAATAAGAGTTCATTGCAGTGGAGATTCCTAAAGTATATAATTTGTCTAATTTTAGTCTCAAATATTTTAATTGCATCATTTTTGGTCCCTAGAATATTAAATATATTTTTATGTGATCCTTCAAGCAAATAACATCTAAATTGTTAACATTTTGTTTATCACAAACTTATCATAGAATACATAAATACGAATAAAAAATAATTTGAGTAGCTCTTGACCATAAAAGTGTAATATGGGTAACTCTTGACGAAATTTTGGATAGTTTATGATTAAAACTGTGTAATTTAGGTAGTTTTTTGACAAAAAATTTGGTCAAAAGTTATCCAAATTATTTTTTTACCCATATTTATGTATTACGTATGAAGTTTATAATAAAAAAAAGATAACAATTTGGATGATGTCTGTTTGAGGGACCACATAAAAATACATTCAATACTTCAGAAACTAAAATGATACAATTAAAATATTAAGGATCAAAATGAAACAATCCTCATATTTTGGAAATTTCCAGTATAATTAACCCAATAAATAAATTATATGTTGGAGAATTAATTCTTTTTTTAATTTTTAATAAACTTAGTTATTAATCAATACGTGTATTATATAGTAATTTTAGTTATTAGATTTACTATTATAATTAAAGACCTGAAGTTATAAGAATAAGTAGAGTGAATTGCTAGAGACCTAATGTTACATGAGAAAAAGTAGGGGGGGTCAACTTTAACCCGTTGATACGAACTCAATACGAACGATTATAAAATTGACACGATTATTAAATACGTATAATAAATAGTTTAGACTAATATTTAATATTCATAACACATTAAATAGATTTTTTTTTTCATGATTTTTGAAACGAACACGACACGTTTGACACTTTTAACAAAAAGAGTTTTGATAGGACATGGAAAAAAAATGATGACATTAATAAGGATATATGAGGTATAATTGACTTAACATTATTAAATATGGATGAAATAGAAAATTAAAAAAAAAATTCACATATGTTGAGATTTATAAGTAGTACATATAGATATAGACATAGGGGCTATATTAAGTGCAATTTTTGCTACTTCTAGAAAAATTCACATGACATGGCTTCAACTTGGTATGAGGCATAAAAGGAAAACTGGAAAGAAACCATCAGGGTAGCTCGGATGGGAATACTTTAGGTAACTGGGCATATGTAGAGCTGGTTTTTTTAGGTGAAAAATTATGGTCTGAAAAAATTTCGTAAAAAAGTACAGTAAAACAAGCCCTCCAAAACCATTTGTAATATTCTTTAAAAAACTGAAAAAAAAATTAAAAAAAATCCGTTTGAAGTGACTTTCTAATTTTTTGGATTTATTTTATGTCAAAATAAAAAAACTATATATGTATGTATAGATTATGCATAATAATTTTCAAATTGAATTAGTCTAAATAAGTCTTCAGATCCAAAAAACTGCTGCATAAGTTGGTAAAAAATTCAAGTTCTAAACGGAGACTTGACTTATTGTACTCCAAACCCTTTAAAAGTTACATATTTAAGCTAGTTCCAAACATGGTCATTATTATCTCAAAGTCCTACGTTCAAGTCTTGTAAGAGACATCATGATTAATTTAATATGCTTGATTTGCAGTAATTGCTTCCATTTCGAGTTTAGGTTAAAACTAGGAATTCAAATGCGGGTGATTTAGATGATTCTCGACTATGGAGAAAATGAAGATAGTGGAATAATGCTATTGTCGTTATGCTAGTTCATATTTGGAGCAAACTTTATACATTACCATCTAAAGGTTTATGTGGAAACAATCAATTTTGTTACTAAGCTGACATGTTTAAAGAATGCAGTGCCAATTACTTTCTTCTTTCATAAGATGTACAAATTCATAAAGCAATTTTGGTGGTATGCTAAATTTGTTGAAAAATTCTAGCTTCCACCCTTTATTATTGCTTTGAGAAAATTGGAAAGGCAAAATATTGATTTAGCATGTGTAAGTTCGGGGGTACAATTTTGAAGATAATCATTCCAATCAATTTAGGGGAGAGGGGGATTGATAAGTCTTTCCTCTTCAGTTTTTTTTTTTTAATTTTATTTATTTTTACATTAAGATCTTATCCAATGACATTCTTTCACATGTCTCATTCACACCACTAATTTAAACATATTTTTTAAAAGAATTGTATCAACCTATAATTAACTATGACTTTTGTCCAATATCTCAATTGTTGGGTAGAATAATTTAAAGTAACCAAAAAAATATCCGTGTATCGTACCGGGCCATTGCTAGTCTATCACAATATGCACTTACATTGTCAAACTTTTTTTTTTTGAGAAAATGATGACATGATTTCCAATTATTGGATATATTTCATTCTCCCACCTGGTTAGTACAAACATCTTACCCTTGTAGGGTAGAAAGAGTCGAATGTACGTATTTTTATCTTTGTTTGAGAAAAAAGTATGTTTCATGTCTACAATCTGTGCCCAAATTTACAAAAGAAAACTTACCGTTACCGAATTACGCTAAGACTTTCCCTCAACTACCAGTACATTCTAAAAAAGCTTCTAAACAAAACATCCAACCTAAGGTCAGGATTTTACCACTTTCAAGGGGCATAGAGACACCCCACTTGTTTTAGATGTGTCCTATGCAACATTACACAAGAAATTGCTTCAAAACATCCCACTTGTTTGAATTGTGTCCAAGGCAAAACATCACACAGATTTGAAATCTTGATCACACATTCAGATTATATTGTTCGCCCAAACTAGAATTTAGAAGCCTGTTTGGTTTGCATCTCAAAAAACAGTATTTAAAAATTATTTTTAGGAAGAGTTTTAAGAAAGTGTTTTTAGAAATTTTTAGATTGAAAATCTGTTTGGTTATATATTTTTGAAAATAGTTTTAAAGAATAAAAAATAGTAAAACTTGTTTACACAATGATTCACAAAATCAATTTTTAACTTATCACTTCTGAAAAAAAAAAAAAAAAAAACCTTATCACTCCAATCAGACAATAACATCCGTTGGCTTCTCATCCAACAACTCTCTCTCCATTATCTTTTCACACAACAAGCCTCCCTCTCTCTCCATTATCTTCTCACATAGTAACCATCTCTCTCTATCACTTTCTCACCCTGCAAAAACAAACACACACATAGATATATATATATATACACACACATACATCACACAATACATATATAAATATATATACACACATAGATCTGTGTATATGTAAAAATCTGAACACATATCTGTATATATGCACAGATCTAGGTTCATATAGATCTGTTGCACAAAGACAGAGAGAGAGGAGAAGATGAACAGTCGGTGGAGAAGATGAACAGCCGGTCACCATTTTTTGTCTCCAACGAAACTCGAAGGGGAGACCTCATTAATTTGGAGTTGCGTGTTTCCCGTGTTTTTACTTTACTTTAGAAAACAATGAAAACATCATTTTATTGTTCTCTAAAATCACATCTCATTTCCTAAAATTTTTAAAAAATTTGAGAACAAAAAAGCTAAACAAACAAATTTTCCTTATTTTTAGAGTTTTGAGAACAAAAAATTATTTTTGAAAACCAAACCAAAGCATACCGTAGATTTCACCATCAAGTAGTAGTCCCCACAAAAAATGATAGTTTTTTTTTTTTCAAAGGTTAGTACAATCAAAGACAAGTCATCTACGCTGAGAGTATGATATTCAAAAAAGATAAATCGCT